TTTTACAAGAGAAACAAGCCTAAATTGAAAATAAAAAGCTCCTGTTAGTTTCATAAATAAATGTAAAATGTGACAAACTGAAAACTTCTGTTGCACCCACCCACACGAGAAAAACAACAAAATTGCATTGCTTTGAGCACATTGAGTGTATGACTATCTAAAGGAAAACTTGTGAAGGTCTAGTGGTGTGTTTAATGACTAGCTTTCAAAAATGTGTGTGCAAGTTTCTTACAAATTTTATTAATACAAAGATTACTTATCATCCAAGATGCAAATAACAATAAGAGCACTCGTTACTATAAACTCCACATGGTAAGGTGATTTCACAGAGTGCTTTTATTGCTTTTCTGTTATGTCAATTGTTGAGCAAAACAAGCAGCTTTAGGGTCCGATTTCTAGCAGACCTGCAACATGCTTCTTTCCTTCTGTTTCAGCTCAGGCTCTTGGGAGGAACCAGCCACGCTCACCATGTCATTCTGTCTTGCTCTTCCTAGTGACTCAGAGCATACAGTGCTCACTGTAACACGAGCTTCCCTCCTTTGAAGCATCTGTGTCCCCTTCTTTCCTTTTTTGAACATGTGGTTTATGAGTCTAAGCTGAGCATACTCAGGAATGTGCATGCCACACATAAGCCCTCTAATGGGAATATGTTTAAGTTGCTGCCCTTAGTCATAAATAAAGTGCCTTCTACCACTTGCTTTGTTCAAGGAAAGCATTACTTTGCAAACACCTCCAAAGCCCTCCTTATTTGATTCAAGCAACAAGTCTCTCTGAACTCCTTAGCTTCTGTTTGGACTCCCGGGCTTCACCCTCAAGAAGGGAGCCCACTGCATTCAGTCTAATTGTCCTCTTCTTTAATCTGTAACCACTCTGTGGTTACAAGTGACGGATAAGCATACTTACTATGTGAATGGTATTATTTTTATTTACATTAATGTATAACAGGAAAGTGAAACAATGAAGACCTAAGATAGAGCCTCACCTGCTCTGCATACTGTGAGGAACTTCTTTGTTGATTCCATCCGAAATTTTAAATACTGTGAGAATATTTCTTTAGCTATTTTTGAAACCCACAATATGAAGGCTATAGACACCACATACTTTTAAATTTCTTTTATTAACATCCTCTCCATTATTTTCTTAAGACTGAACAACCAATCAAAAAATTAATCAAGCCCTCATTGTTTGCATTTGCATATTTTCACAGTGTATATAATTCTGCCTGGCTGACCAATAGGAGATACAAGACAGCGCCCTGCTGCATAAACTGCCTACCCCACAAGAGGCCTGAGTTCCACACCCAGCATCAGCAAGAAAGCAAAACAGAAAACAATTTTCCATATAAACAATAACACAAAATAACTTCAAGTATATGCATAGGAGCACAATATAACAAAATATTAGGAAAAGATGTTTGCTTTTATAACTCATTTAATTATAAGCTTACATTAGTTTGAACTGTATAGATAATTGTCGTACAGCCTCCTTTCTGGGGTATAAAACCTGCTGTATTACAGGCTCTTCAATCTGATACTTCACAGCTTCTGAGAGCTGATTCCTTATCTGTGATTTTAACTAAACTAAAATTATCTCTGCTGATTCTCATCTCAGGGTAATGAGGAGACTGAAGTCGAAAAAGAGAAAACAGTGTATTATGGTCACATTTTGCCAAGGTACTGCCTTCCTACCCCAGAACTTTAGGGCTCTGCACCTAGACTAGGTAGGAAGTATGAACAGCTTTTGGCAATTTTAAACCATTATTAACCATTTGTTTACAAATACACTGTGTTGTAGAATTAGCTTTTCAGGTTTCTCCCAACTGCTCACTTTTGATCTATTTACATAGCCTACTGTTTTATTTTGACAAAAAAACCTTCTCTTTGTTCATATTGGTAGTGCTCCAAAAATGTGAAGTAAATGTCATTTGACAGTCCAGGAGGAAGCAGGAACCTTTCCAGAATGTTCAGCTGTCTGAAGCTCCCAGCAGCAAAACCACAAGTGGCTGATTTTCAAGAAGGGAAGAGCAGACCCTCGAGCCTCCCTCGTGCTTTCCTCCCAGTAGTGGTTTGTGCCCTGGGTTTACTTTGATCATCTGGCTGATTCATTCTTGCCATAAAAACTGGTCTGAATGCTCTGCTTTGAAAGCCACAAAAACCGGGGGAAACTAGTCACAGAAACCCTGACGATCAGCTGATTGTTTATGCCGCCTGCACTTTTTCCTGCTGGTGCAGGCTGACGGGGCCACACAGAGCTCCAGAGCTGTTCAGCCAGTCTCCACCGTCCGTCTTCCCCATGCTGGAGAGCGCGGAGCTGCACTTCAACGTGGACCATGGCTACCTGGAGGGCCTGGTGCGCGGGTGCAAAGCCAGCCTCCTGAGCCAGCAGGACTACGCCAACCTGGTCCAGTGCGAGACCCTGGAAGGTAAGTGGAGCTCATCTCATCCTTCAGAAAGAAGGAGAGGCAGTGATGGTCCCTCTAGGAAGCAGCAGAAGGCCCACGAGCAGATTTGTCCACCTGGAATCTAGGTTTCTGGTGTCCGTGAACTTGAATAAAGAAAAAGTACACTATTTCTATATATTTCCTCTAAGTAAAATACAACATTTTCTTTTGATTGCAGTATACAAACCACAAGGATTGGTATAGGTAGTACCTGTGACTTTTGTTACCAACAGAAATTCAATACTGTTGTATCGTTTTTAAGTTCTTATAGATACTTTAAAATAATATTGTTTTCTCTATTTTGAAGTGAGAGTTAGATATTACAGTCCTCCATTAAGCTTGTTTCTTCTTCTTCTTCTTCTTCTTCTTCTTCTTCTTCTTCTTCTTCTTCTTCTTCTTCTTC